ACTATTGTCAATCAGAAAAAACTATATACTGGTCATTTAAGTAGTAGGACATGACACCTTGTGTAGTTGACTTCTAAGTAGGGCATTAAAAAGATACCGTACATACAATAAGCAGTAGACCAGCTACTGTACTCCCTCATTTAAAAACCGTAAAAACCCTTGTTGATATAAATGATACTTTTTCGAACGCATTGACAATCATAGGATATATCTACAGAAAAACCCGAAGTGTAAATGACTATTATTAACTAATTAAAAATGTAATCAGGAACTCATGAGATAGCAACACTGTATCAAAGAAAATTGTTGGTATAACGATGGGCATTATGTGATCTAGAAATTAACTGAACTAAATTAGAACATAGTGTTCAGACAGTTCAAATAATGACAAACCATAGTGACGAATATTCGCATAGTGTAAAACGTTTCAAATTATTATTCAAAGAGAATTATTTATATGGACAACAGTATTTAATAGCAGCCATAACAATTTCAGATGAAATATGGGGGAGAGACCTTACACTTCTCAGTTTGTGCACTTCAGCTACCCATGAGACCCTTTGCGTTAGTTTTCGAATAATCAACGTTCTGAACTTCAATTTTATTTTGTCCAAATTTCATCAACGAAATTTGGTGACCGAAAGAAATAATCCAGTATTGTTTGCGCTAGGCAAGATAATTACTACCAGCGAGTTCTTCACTTCTTTGCAAACAAAAAGTATATTTCACAAGAAGAATGTTGAGTCAATAGGTCATGCTGCAGACTTTTAATCATTTGGTCATATTATACAAAACGTAAATCATCTACACTGGTTTAGGTAGCCGACCAAACTCTCTAGATAACAAATGTGACCCAAAACCTGGATACAAATACGCACTTCATTACAGAATGTGGCTTTAATTTTAATGACTATTATAGACGTTCAACAATGCACAAATATTTTATCTTTAAACTACAGCTGCAAGTGGGATCCGTTTCATTTAATTTGAGACACTTCAGTAGAAGTATCAGTGTCCCAGAGTCAACACTCACATTAAGACTCGGTTATGTGCAATAAGAGAACCCCTCAATACTGCTTACATTTACAAGTTTTATTATACTTTTGAACTGTGGTTAGTAGAAGCATCCTAAAACAGATTAAATTCCATCACGAATGTCAACAGCGTAAAATACAAAACCTTAAAAATAATTGCAAGATACTTATAAAAACTTATTCACAAATATCGACACTATTAGTGCTAAGTTGTATTAAACATCGCTTGTCATCAAACCACTTCATATTCTTTTTTCATCAGCATAGGACGAGCAGTGCAGCCATATGCAATTTCATCCCTTATTATTTTCCATTTTAGGAAGTAGGGAAAATTTTTCCGCTTGTTTATGTACCTAGTTGCTTACAAACATACGAAGAAAGTTTCCCAAACATCGTATGCTTCTGAAAAACTTTCTGACAATTACTTGTCTTCGGCTTAGGACCTAGCGAATAACTTAACAGTAACGGGTTCACTAAAATAACTAACTCGTTTTTTACACACAAAACCGAGATCTGAACTGGAACGTAATCATTTGATCGTTTTCTTATAAATTTACTCTGGGAGGGATATTAATTTTTAACAAGCTGCTTAAAGGAGATAATCAAATAGACTATTTGTAACTTATAGGTGTCATTACCAAGGTTTGATTTGATAATTTCGAATAAATTGAACATTGGGTTGATTGTTATAAATAAAAATAATATATTTGTAATATCCCAATGAGTAGAAAATTGGATTTTTCTGACGTTTCGTGGCTTAGTGTAAGTCACTTCTTCAGAGAATAAATAACCAAATTAAATTAATCCAAGTTTAAATAGTACAACGGAACAATGCAAGAATAATATTTGATCAATCAAAAACAGGTCTGAACAAGTTGATGTCATGTCATTTCTGTCAAGGTGATTCATAAGCGATAAGTATGTAAATTTGTGTATGTATGTGTGTGTGCATTGTTTAAGAATGAAAACTGTGTGACCTATATGGTAAGAAAGGATAGAGTTTAAATTTGTAATATGATAGTGTGAAATTGTAAATACGATCAGACTGAATGGTTAGGATAGATGGTCCAAGTAGGATGTATGGTAAGGCCTTCTTTTCTATTGAGAGAAGTAGGATTAAGCATTATATGGAACGCCTCAGCTACCCTCCTTTCTTTGTAGTTGGAAAAGCCTTTTTGCAATATTTTGATATTTTTAAAATCGATTTGGTGGTTGTTGAAAATGGCATGAACTGCTATTGCCGATTTAATTTGAAGTTGGTTCAATTCTACAGGATTGTTAGGAGGTTTCTTTGTGTACCTAATATGTTCTTTGGCTCTAGTCAAGATTTCGCGGGATGACTCTCCAATATAATAGGCATCACAAGCGATACAACCTAATTTGTAGACGCAGTTCAGTGTGGATATGAAAGGGATTTTTCTTTCAGGCGAACTAAAGTATTACGTAGTGTGTTCGTTGTTTTGTAATACACTTTAATTCTGTGATGTTTTAAGATTCTTTGAATTTCTTCAACCAATCATTGTGGTTTCGCTTTGGTTTGCTTTGCATCCCAAATCATGTAATGTCTCACGGTTTTATGGCTTACCAAAAATTCATAAACCAGATATTCCTTTAAGACCAATAGTAGACTTCACAAACACCCCAACATATGCACTATCGAAATATTTAAGCAATATATTAAAACCATTACAACTCAACTTACATAATATAATTAAAGACACATATGACTTGAAATCAAAATTATCCGGATTAATCATAGAGAAGAATGAAATCATGGTAAGCTTTGATGTCGTTTCTTTATACACAAGTGTTCCCATTGATAAATGCTTAGAATTCATTAGTGGTTTACTTGAGAACGACAATACTCTTCCTGACAGATGTCCGTTGAGCATCAGTCTAATCATGAAATCCTTAAAACTTTGCTTAAATTCAACGCTATTTACTTTTAACGGTATGTTGTTCAAACAAACTAACGGTGTAGCGATGGGATCCCCCGTTTCCCCGATTGTAGCCAACCTTTTTATGGCATACATAGAATCAAATATCTTCGCCCACAACACTATACCACGAATTTGGCTTAGATATGTAGACGATACATTTGTTGTTATAAAAAAGACTCATCTAAGATCTTTTTCAAACCGAATTAATACACTTTCATCGCACATCAAATTCACGAATGAAAATGTACATGGTGAACTACCATTCTTGGATTGCTTGGTAAAAAGAAATCCAAATGGAAGTCTAAACCTATCCATCTACCGAAAGCCGACGCATTCAAATCGTTATATTGACTTCCATTCAGCACATCCTTTCAGTGCTAAGATCTCGCTAGCCTTAAATCTTTTTAGAAGAGCTAACAAGATCATCACATCAGAGGAAGACAAACAAAAAGAACAAATGAATATAATCAGCATCTTACAATTTAATAATTTTCCTATGAAGATTATTAGAAGCATATTAAAACAACACAGTTTATTACATTATAATAATGATTCGAATGAAATGCCTTGGATTGGCACTGTAGTCCTACCATACCGTCATGGCACAACAGAAGAAATTCAAAGAATCTTAAAACATCACAGAATTAAAGTGTATTACAAAACAACGAACACACTACGTAATACTTTAGTTCGCCTGAAAGAAAAATCCCTTTCATATCCACACTGAACTGCGTCTACAAATTAGGTTGTATCGCTTGTGATGCCTATTATATTGGAGAGTCATCCCGCGAAATCTTGACTAGAGCCAAAGAACATATTAGGTACACAAAGAAACCTCCTAACAATCCTGTAGAATTGAACCAACTTCAAATTAAATCGGCAATAGCAGTTCATGCCATTTTCAACAACCACCAAATCGATTTTAAAAATATCAAAATATTGCAAAAAGGCTTTTCCAACTACAAAGAAAGGAGGGTAGCTGAGGCGTTCCATATAATGCTTAATCCTACTTCTCTCAATAGAAAAGAAGGCCTTACCATACATCCTACTTGGACCATCTATCCTAACCATTCAGTCTGATCGTATTTACAATTTCACACTATCATATTACAAATTTAAACTCTATCCTTTCTTACCATATAGGTCACACAGTTTTCATTCTTAAACAATGCACACACACATACATACACAAATTTACATACTTATCGCTTATGAATCACCTTGACAGAAATGACATGACATCAACTTGTTCAGACCTGTTTTTGATTGATCAAATATTATTCTTGCATTGTTCCGTTGTACTATTTAAACTTGGATTAATTTAATTTGGTTATTTATTCTCTGAAGAAGTGACTTACACCAAGCCACGAAACGTCAGAAAAATCCAATTTTCTACTCATTGGGATATTACAAATATATTATTTTTATTTGTAACTTATGTTTCAAGTGAATCTGAGAAACGGTACTTAATATTGTGATAACATTTGGTAAGATAATAATACTAGACAAGATTTATCAGACGGAAATGAAAATAAACAATATTTTCTTTAAAAGATTTCAAATATACTACGATCCACTTAAGTGTTTTTTTAATTAGTACAGCTACATTGATACATAAATATTAGATAGAAAGAGATTGAAAAATACGACCAGAACTTTGAATTAAGTAATGGAAAATGACTTCAAGGTACATTTACGTTACAGAAGCATTGGATACATGGATGAATAAATATGGACAGAAATGAAGGTACTGGATTAAACGTGAATGCACAGTTAATGGTATCATTTAATTTTAGAACAGGTAAACAAAACGTTGAGTCCATTTCAAATGAATATTTCAGTTAATGAATTTACGCATGGGTATTGGTAAAATAAAAATATGGAATATAGGAAGGAGAACCGAAAATGGAATGGAAAGAATACATACACACATACACAGAAACAAAACCTAAATACAAACAAATACATTTGTTATGATCACATTACAATACATTCCGTTGAATTAATTCTGATCCGAGAAAATAAATCAAGCTTTATTTTGATTAGTTATTCTAGCCGATTGGTCAGCTCGATTAAATGCATACTTAGTTATTGCCAACACTAAGCATACCATAATCAATGGAGATAAATCACGCGGTTGTCCAATAAAACTCCGTAGACCAGTTAAGAAAGCCGATACAATTGTTGGATCGTGTGGACGAAGACGCTGGCAAAAGATGAAATTTTTAGAAAAATGAGGAAAGTAGAACACTAATGAAATAAGACTATATTGAAATATTCACTAAAATAAAGAGCACAATAATGATAATCACATTTCTTATACTATTCAGACTTGATATATATATATATATATATATATATATATATATATATATTAATTCATTTAAACACAAAACATTGGTACAAAAAGGTTCCAAATATGTATGCACCATATAAATCAAATGATGTGTGAGGGCTGGGATACTGTCTGGGCGCCCAAACCAAAACATATAGTTTTCCAAACCTTCGACCTAGAGGTCTAATCCACAAGGCAGTGGAGCAACGTTAGGAAAAGCAGTCCCATGGTATATATATACAAGTATGACATGAATGTTAACAATTAAAAATAAATGACCCCAATCAGAACTACATTATTCCTAGAATAAATTCAATCTAAAAAGTTACTCAGTAATATTTGATGCAATTGCGAATACGATTAATAAAGTGAGGTTTTTAAGCTCTCGGAAAAACAACGCCACTACTACTACTACTACTACTACTCACATTCATCTTATGGTTTTAATCAACTGCAACCAACTGTTAAATGTGGTTGAGGAAAAAATGAACTTAAGCGACAATTATATGTACATTAAAATACAACGGAATGATCAATGGATAAGTCCTTTTTGATAACGCATAGGATTTCAGAAAATTCCTAATCTTCCTAATTACAGCTATAACGGCTCAACTAAGAAAGATTGAGGTAGGTGACGATTGACAATCTATTCAAAGAATCAAGTCACATATCCCTCAACCGAATAGACGTTAGGAAATACATAACTACTTACGGTAAAACTAAACTACACTAACGACATTGAATGAACCAACCAGATTCAAGATAGAGGCACTTGGATCGTTACACAACATTCAAACAGCGAAGAATGGCACGTACAGGTATTAAGAATTAAGTAAAAATTGTCTATATCTATTTTTTAAAATCTTTCTTACAACCGTACAGTGAATGAGTCATGGTGGGTGTTAAGTCCTCTACTTGATTACGATATACAACTAACGGTACTCGAACATGTAGAACCCAAACAGTCCCAAATTAGAAGACGGAAGGAACAGAGGAAGTGATTATTGGGTAAGAATTAAAAAATGTACAGAAAAACATGGGCATTTGTAGTTATTGATGTTGGTTATAACATCTTTATAATTCAGCCACGTTGATCTTCTAGAAGGCTTTATCAGGTTCTGACTGCATGGGATCTCTTCGACTCCTTTAGAGCCTCAAGAGGCTTCGTCGTACTTTTCAAAGCCGTCCCAACAATGGGTAAGTTAAGTCACCAAATATATCTGCTCCACAAGTAGAATGTATTCGAGAGTATTTAGTGTGACTCAATGCATACTCAAAAGTATTCATTTAGATAAAAGCCATTATCCGAGTGTAACGCACACATACAACTCTAGCCCAACTGTTAATATCAATCGCTAATCTTTTTTGCTTACTATATATATATTAGATATAATTCAAAAAATTAGAGCTTATTATTCAAATTAAAACTATTTAACCACTGTAATTTTATCAATTCTTATTATTAATTATTTTGTAATTAAATATTATCTTCTGATTGGATGGTAAATCTCTCAAGGTCGTAGGTACAGTTTAGTTCTACCTTACTCAATGATCGACCAACTAGATATGTAAATATTAGATGATTAAAGCTGTCATTTATCGACAAAACCTTTAATCAAATTAATATAACTTATTACATGACAAAAATGGTGAATCAATGGTAAAAATGAAGTTTATGGAGGAGCTAATTCTTTAGTTCTGTTCATTGAAACTAATAAACCTATTTATTGTCATCAGCTCTTTCTTCTGTGTATGACTTCTTGTCTAAGAGCAAAACATTAGCTTCTCATTATTGAACAATAAAGTCTAAAGAATTTGTGTTAAAACATTTTGAGAGAAAATAATTTAATTTAATCTTCTTATTGCTCATCAAGTTGACAATTATGTTTTACACATTTCAATAGAGTACTTTGTTTGTTAGATTATTATATTTATACGATTTTGTATAGCTGAAGAAGAAACATTTTTCTTCAGTAAATTGTCATTAGTTTTGAAAATTGCATGTTACGTGAAAAAAAAGTAATTAGATCTTAATAGAAACAACATTTTTTACAGGTAGATTTACAATTGCTTTGAATAATATTGCTAGAAAAAACATAATTATAAATTAATTGTAAAATTTGAAACGTACGCGCTTTCCTACTAAACCATTTTCTTCAACAGCGTTACGTAATATTTCAGAAGACAATGTGACCGGTGGTAAGTATTCAGATTTGAATGTACGTTTCCACCAATCTTTGCTAAAATCATAAAATGAAAAAATGACAATTAATTTAAAATAAGTGTCGTCACTAAATGAAAGGATTTTTACAAAATTAAAAGTTTCATAGAAGTATACTTGGAGATCTGAAGCGAACATAATGCATACACGAGTCTTATTAAGATAATCTATAGACTTGTGACAAAGTCGAAATCAACGAATCAATTCAGAAAATTGCCAGAAAAAAAGCCGTTTCATCAGTCAATTAGAATGTTGACTTTTCCTTATCCTTGGTTAAAATACTTTATGAATATTTAAAACCTCTAGCAAGCTAAAACTGTAATTGATTATGTAATGCATTCAGTCAATAATTCTATATGAGCTTACGGGAAAAAGAGACGGGAGAAGCTTTAGATGTTGTTTTCATAGAGCTGACTTATTGGTTGAATAATTCAGCCGTTAACCAATATACCTTAGATCTAAACCCCACCTTACCTGCTTTGACAGCCGGGTAACATTATTAGCTCTGTCTAGAAAGCAGTTTAAAACTAAGTAAACCCGTATTTGGTAAATGAGATGCGTTATTGTTATGAACTTTTTTCTAAAAAATTTGTTGGATAAGTAATGTGATTTACTAAGTCACAAAAGATATTTATTGAAGAGTAATAAAATCATGCTGATCATATAACGTGTAAGGATTATCATATCATCAATTATAATCAAGACAAAATTAATACATCGGTCTAAAACAAAAATGTAGCAGTTAATATACCTTGTCTTTTACATTGATAAAAGTAACAGTTGAATAAATTCTCTAAAAAATATCATACCTATCAAAAGAATCAGTGAAATGGTAGGTATACAGATGAGCTCGAATATATTTTGGATTATTCGGCACACTAGATGGATCGAGCAGTTCCAAGACTAATGAGAGGAAAAAACGAAGGCCAAATAAATTCTCATAAAATAAACAAGCATTATAATATTAAAGAATAGTATTAGTTGAGCTTAACTGAAATCAAACGAAACAGTAGCTGCAATCATAGTATGAAAGAATGTTAGAACATGTGAATTCAAGTTTACACCCTAAATATTTATTTACCATCAAATAACAGAGGTTCCATTTATTAAGCTTACAAATTTATATAGACAAACTATTGTTTACGCCCAACCGTCATGTACAAAATATGTAATACTGACTGGAATATGACTACAATACAAATAGACTCAAAATATCCATACAAAAATATAACACAAGTCTACAAAGTTATAGATTGTTCGGTCAATGTCTGAAATGCACATTTACATTCGGATTTGAATACGCTATCACAACGAAAATGGCTATAGAAGTTAATTGACGGGGCAAAACTCTAACTTTGTCAAACGTAAACAACCGGAATGCTATCATTTTAATAATACTTGTGTCCATAGGTTTTTACTGATAAACTTTTCCACTAATTTGTGAGCAGATTAAGGGACTAGAAAGTGTTATCTATACTACACACTTTGAAAATCCAACGCTTATATATGTATATATATATATACACTTAAATGTAAACATGGGCATCAAATATACATCCCGAATGATTTTTATTCTATATAGTATATATTTATTTAAACTGATGAACTGAATCTATCCGTGTCGCACTAAAATCACAACTCATCGTGAAAAACTGACAGTGAAGACAACTAACTTAAAGTGTAGGTCTTCTAATATTAGCATAATCACTATTTAAAATATTGATATGACAAAAAATAAAACAATGATTGAGCCAAATACAGTAGGTGTCTAAAACTTCAATTCAAATACTGAAATTCTAATTTTTAGTAACGAAAATCCTCAAGACTCAAGCTGTCACTTATTCACACGAACGATTCAGCATAAAAACAATTGTCTTAAAAAGAAATTCAAATAATTCCATTCGAATTATCACAAGTAAAAATAAACATGCACTACTTTACAACAGTGTAAAAACTAACCCTCAGTTTGTTGATTCAGTAATCGATAAACTAAATTCATCAACCACGGATGATTACGATAGTTCGTGAGCGCAGCAAACCACATTTGCCAATCCAAACGAGGCTGGTGTGGGACTACATTTACAAAAGGATAAAGAAGTAAACTAGCATATGTATAATTACTACAACAGTTCAGTATGTAAACTTTACATAGAAAAGTAAGCTTATTTCTATCAAAGTGTAACAAGTCAGTCAAAGGAAAGATGCCAAAATGTAAAAAGACAGCTGACCAAGTAACATGTCTTATCTTGATTTCAATCATAAAAAAGATCAAATGAACAATATACTAAAACTTGACATATAAACACTTATCACTGTTATCTTTAAAACTTGGTAATTTAACAGGTACAAACTGAATTATTTGAAATTTGACTAAGTATTTTGAAGTTTAAAACAATACCAACTTCCTTGAAACGTTCGATGATGAAGTAATATCGGTAGACCCCAATCAATGTAGTCATTCTTCTAATATTTTAATGTAAAAGGATTACATGGGAATGATTGTATTCAGAAAAGTTTAAAAGAAATCGAATTTGTGCTTAAAACTGATCAATTAGTATATATATTTTTTAATCCCAAGTCTAATAACCAGCGAATCCAGACAAGGAAACCACTACTGCTCACTACATGACAAATTATGAAAGATATAACATAGTGACTTAAATGTATTAAAGATGTTCCTTAAAACCGGTAACAAACTTTTTGAAAGTAGTAAGAGTATCAACCAAGCGAATTCAACCACATGAAATAATCACGGAGATGAACTAATTTATTTGATGTAGAAATCGCCAAACCAACGTTTCTAAGAAGCAAATTATTTTTGTAAAGAAAGTATAAACACAATTGTGTATTTTTAAGGAAACTGGAATCCTCAAGTGTTTCGTTCCTAGTGAAGATGAGTAAAATTGTTAGATATAGTATGAAATACATGTGTAACAAAAAAGAGAAAGATAATAACAAAAAAAACTTTATTTAATACTGATCAATTATTTGTTGCACAAGCGCCAGTGCAAATCAATATTCTTTATTTATGACATCATTACTGTATTGATCAAATATTAGCAACATGGATAAAGAAATGTGATATTGACAACTGCTTGTGTAGAATTTTCTACACAGCAAACAACTAATCTTATAAATCAACTTATTAGCAAACAAACTATATCAAAGAAACAGTTCTAAAAAAAATAAATATAATATTGCACTAAGACAATTTCATAATGAATAAACTTTACAGGATAAGAAATACTTACTAACAACTGGAGGAGTTCTATCTATACGACCAGGTTTGAAATTAAATTCGTATTCATACCATGGACCAGTTGGATTTGATGCCGCCTCCAAGATAAGTTCAGGTCGACCACCAACTCCAGTCATTCTTAAGCAAAAACATAATGCATAAATTACAGAAAAATTTGAAAAATATTATAATAAATTACCTGAAAAGACGTAAACAAATAATTTTACTCATGTTTACACAAATGAAATCCATAAAATAAAGTAACAGAAACTAACCGGCGGAAAAGACCATAACTATTGGTAATGTAATACGGTTGTAAATGTTTATAAACTTGACGAATTTGAGGTGGTAATTGTATGGTCGAATCCAGTGATGCAAATGGCACCTGAATGGAAAAGAAACCAATAATAGTTAAATTGACTTTATAACTAACAAAGTGACAAAGTAATATGAAAATGTTGCTAAGACGGAGTTTTGTCCCAAAATGTAATATACTGTTTAATGAAAAGAATAGTTTTACGCCGAAGAAATTATAGTTAACAAATATCGTCAATCTGAACAGCGGACAGTAAAATCACGCATTTTTAGTCTAAAGGTATGAGGTCTAGTCATTTGACACTCATTAAGTTGTTGAATTCTTTAGACTACCTCAAATTAATTAGGCGATAACTGATTTACCACAAACTGATTGGATAGTCTGGGAGTCTACACACTACTCGCCTGAGGAGAATGTCAACACAGAGAGAACTTTGCAAATGATTCACAAACTATTCAGTAGAATTACTTTGGTGGACAAATGAAAAGACACTTTCAGATCTTTATGTGATAGTCTTTAGAAAGAATAAACCTACAGAATAAACTTAAATATGTGAGTTATAAAGTTAGATATGTATTAGGAAAGAGTAATGAAGTTTAATGAAATGAAATGATTCGGATATGTATCCTTACATTAGAATAGTTCGATGTGAAATGTTTACTGGAACAGAGGCGGGCTAGGTATCCTATCATTTGGTAACTATTATCTCTTTTGAATTCGGATTTTTAGTCAACCGCCCTTAGATATCCCAGTTCTTTAATTTTCTTTTGATATATTTCTTGAGATAGTGACGGAATGGCCCAATATAAGTTGAATCAGTGCTAAGTGATTGCTTCAGTTACTAAATACAGCAGTTTCTGAACTTTTAATACCTTACAATTTGAAGGAATATCTTAACGGTAAATTGTTAGATTAAAAGTGGAGATCCATTGAAATGTTATAAATCTTGGTTTAAAATATGAGAAAAACACAAACAATAATATATACTTACCAAACTACCCATAAGTATGGCAAAACCAATAAAACCAATGATAATAACACCGAATAACTCATAGAGTTTACGCCAAAACCGATGTGAATTTAGTGCTCTATCAAGTTACCGATGACGATGACGACAAAGAACCACAACAGCATAAACAATTAAAATGTTAGAATAGATGAAAAATAGTAAAAAAACAGAATAATGGAAATTAGTATCTAATTTAGCCTAACTTTTCATCAATATGAAATAATTACTTATATTTACGTATAATAAATACACTCATTCTTGTTGTTTGAAAATATATTCTAGGGCTTTTTATTTAGTGATACAAGAGTAAGATATTAATACTATAACAGTTAAGTTTCTTATCAATCTGGTTAGTAGTATTTACAGGGTGTGTTCACGGAATCAATTTATTGTTCATCACACTAATACAGTTTAAAAATATTACACTCATATTATCATCGTCTTCCACACGATATGGTATACCTGAGTTGTTGTTACTCGTATGATTGGATTACAGGATTGAGCTGTGCTGTTCAAGTTGAAAAGAGCATAAAGTGTGGTTCTACTGAAAACCAACGCAAAATGTTGCTCCCGCATGATACAGAGGTGGCTTAGTGGTTAGGCGTTCAACTTTCTCCCACAAAATCCTAGGTTCGAAACCCGCCCCAAGCAATCAAGTAGTATCACTAACTCTCACACTTAGAGAAGGCTTATATCCAAATAGCTGGTGAATGAGTTTATTATTAATAATTGTACAAATTGCTTATTTTAATTACGGTACACTACGATGTTCGAGTTAACCGATTAGATTTATGTGCTTTTAGTAAATCGATCTTATAGGTTAAATCCATCCAAACATATGGTGAACAAAACAAAATGGAAAATATGGAGATGATGTGTTTGATATATGATTATCGATATTAAATGGAAACAAGCATATTGGAAAAATAAATCAGTAGGAAGCTTACATAATTATACTATGCAGAACTTCTACACAGAAAAATGCGACACCAAAAGAAATACTGTATTTGACGGATGTGTTTACGAACCAAGCGAACTCCTTTTTGGTGAAACCTAAGTTTGGTAAGAAAACATTGACAAAAATAAATAGTACAGTGAAATACTCATATAAGCAATGTTTAGTTAATTCGTTCATATTACTTTCGTTAAGTGTTGGAAACTAGAAAACATGATTATCAACCAATAAACTTATGCTTCAGATGATTTGTAAAGGAATTTACAACTATAGGTATCCACCATAACGAGAAACAAGAGGGTGAGCTGGGTTTGATTTCTGTAATATGAAATGATTCAAAACTGATCTGTGTATATTAAAAAAGATAGCATCTATTCACTCCAACAGGAAATGCAAATCTTGAAGATGACTGATACAAATAATACTTTTAATTTCATATGCAGTAACTAAACGAATTAAGTAGTGATAAACAACTGTGTCAGTTTATGGAATCCAGTTTTGACCTTTATCAATCAAATTCGTACAAATCCCTATATTCTCTTCGTGTAAGTTATGAATAAAAACTATTGATACTTGGTAAGAATTAATCGGCAGAAAGCATTTAGCCTATTTTTACGGTGGTGGAGCTAATCAGCACGGTGTATTGAGCGCCAACGAGTTCGATACTTTTGAGACAATTGAATTAATACCACTTAGCCCACAGACTAGACATCTTATTAGTCATTTATCCAACTAGAATAAAGATTACTGTATAACAATGAAATGCGAATTCCTTTCAACTATTTTAATAAGTTATAGGCAAAATACGACTTTTCGATCGTTTACGGCTAGATAAAACGACAAAACACATTCAACTTACATGCCTTATCTGAAAGACGTTTTGCAAAGTACAACCTTCGTAGGAAACAGAGACGGATAAAATTAAGCTTCGAGATGTAAGGTATGTTCATGACAATATGCATAGAAATTCGCAAGTCAGGCGGTAATACATACACAGCTTTATTAAACGCACTAATAACATTTTTCAAACTATGAATAACTTTCCAGTCCTATATTACATGTAGTTAGTATTAAAGTCAATACTTGAATCAATTAACAGAAGTCATGGGGGCCGAAAAAGTTATTATGAATCCATTTTATCATTCAAGATAAAACTTAAAATTTTATCTATCACAAAGAACGCTTACTCTTAAACTAGTAATTAAGTCTGGATCATACTTATGAAGGGAGTAAAAGATTTAGAGCAAATACATAATTTGTAAGCAAAAAGCTGCTTAGACGCAACTAAAATGGACCTTTAATTAATTATGTGTTATTCAGTACTAGGATCATTAATATACTGTTCACTTATGACTTTGAATGCAAACTGATGATAAGTAAGCAACTATACAGATTCCCAAAACGATGCTTAGTGACAAACTCTGAGAGCAAATGTTTATCAGCAAATACATTGGTTACTAGGTCTAACATCAGCTAAAACTTAGAACATACCGACAGAGGTACTAACTGAATAATTGGAAATGGAAAAATTGAGCAGATAACCACTGATCCCGAACACTGAGATAATAAGAAACCATGAAGCCGCAAAAGACAATAATCCAGACACGGTCCACTTTCGTCTGCGCCCTATGCAATATCCACACAAAATGAATAATAAGATGAAGACGAGTTACTTGGAAAATATATCTAACAAAATATTTTGTTAAGGGCTTGTCACTTTATAATGGGGACATAAATAATATATGCAAAGGTTTTTTAACGTAATGTTATAACCATCGCTTTTTCACGGTTGTGAACATGGCTTTATTGCTAAGGCGGTTAAATGCTGATTAACTGACAAAACGAAAAAATGATGTAGCTTAATGATAGCTGCTCATGAGAATGGATGTATGGCTTTGTAACACTCAGTGAGTCGCTGAGCTAAACGACTATATGACTGGTCAAATACTAGTTAACGAAGTAAAACAACATACAAATACTTTGTTTTTCTCATAATATATATTATTTATAGTGAGTAGATCACAGACGATACGTTACGAAACGTATGGGAGTCCTACTGTCTCCGGATGCTCAGTATGTTATCATATGTTAGATAAGTAATTTATGGTTATAAGGTACAGTTATTGTGAGTCGAAAATATGAAATGATTACTAGTTTTTGCAATAACATAAAAGTATTCGTTATGTTCAAATGAGATCCAAAGTTGGTTTTTACGACTATGAAAGCTGATCACAGATCGAAAGACCAGTTCAGTTTACATGTAGTTAATTAAAAGTGTGTATCAAGCATTTTGCATGGTGAGAAGGAATGATGTCATTGCTGGACGTATAGTGTAAGATGGTGGTAAATCAACTGAGGTTTATAAACCTTTGTCAGTAGGTGGTTAGAACACCTGTGGCACTCAAAAGGAAAAACAAGAAGCCGACAAAGTGAGGAAACTTGTATTGAACTGACAATCTGTATTACAGTGAAATATGTAACAGCAGACGAGAATTCTTCAAGATTACAAAAGCATTCACATGAGATACTTGGTGGCTTGGTTTCAATTTAACTCGGTGAACTCCCATTTACCATGTTTCTATAGATCCGTGAGACGATAGAAACCGATGGTTAGACATTGGATGACATGGCTCAAAATCGTTTGTAATGGCGTAGGTGCATCCAGTCTTTGTGTTTCCCAAGTTTTAATCTTCTGAATTCTTCATGTCCCTTTTTTCTCTTTCCCAATTTGTTTCACTGGATTATACTACCTCTACTACTACGGGATTTGAATTGACAATTGTATCTCTGTGCTAATGTGGTATGGCAACTCGAACTGATGTACATACGTACAAAGTTCTACGTTGTTAATTGACTGACTGATGGATCCCTTCCCAAAATATATACAGTTAGTAATTATTTGTTACTAATATCACAAATGTGTTTTAATAAGGCTACTTGGAAGACAGTACATCGCTACTAATTTACAACTTTAGCAAATTCACTAAGTTTAGACGACTGGGTAATAAACAGCATATCAGCAAACAAAGGACCACGAAAATAACGTTTTCTGATATGTTAAATAGTAAATATAAGTGGGTAGACATCTACCATTCAAATGATTCATTTTAAAACACAACTCACGAGGATTGAAGTCATCATCTTTCAATAGGGAATAACATAAAGCAATGGTTAGCAAATTGAAGAAATTGTAGTTTCCCGTCAATATTATCGAAAGTTGCAGAAGTACCTTAAATAAAACACATATTCATCAAATCAAACAATTCGGGAAATATGATGGACAGAACAAATATGGATACTAACTTTTATGTATCGAACGGCTGTAGAATTCGTTATAAAGGATTCAAATATAGAAAGGTCTACAGATTGGATAACATTACATAATCCAAGTTGTACGTACATTTCCGTAGTAGAAAATCAATCATAATTCACAAATTGTAATCATCATAAGACACTTGTGAATACTCTGGTAATATAGTCCGAAAATCACTAGACGATGCAAGTCAATTTACAAGAATTACCATGATACAGACTGACAGGTAATATTAATTAAATGCATTTCAAAAGACACGATTTCTAAACTACATTCATGAGGTTATTAACAGCCCTAGGCTTAGTATGAATACTTATCATCTTAAGTTACTACGCTTTACATCAACACAGAAAATGAAGAAACCGATAATGTGGAAAACAGAATGTGAAATAGTACCGACTACTATGGAAAGCCAAACATGATACTATTTTAAGAGAACAGACAGGACCGCATAACGAGTTATTGGATTATATTAAACCCGTCGAGGAGAGACTAACAAATGAGTGGGACTGTAGACGAAACTTATTTTAGGTCACTTCCTAATCTCAAAAGATAGGTTGAGATAATTTCATGGACCCTAATTTGATGACTTAAACCTCCAAACACGACACAGACTGACAGTTAGTAAGTGCACGAACAACTGTATGCATTGTTATCATTTCTTTGATTAGTAGGCAGAAAGATAAGGTTCAAAAATACACAAAAGCAAATATGAACATTGTCGTTGTAACATACAGGTCTTCATAAGCATCGGCCTTTTTCATCGTTTTATAATTTGCAAGTTGGAATAGTAGAAGTATACGCCGGATAATAGAATGACATACCTATTTTTATAGTATATGAGGATAGAGCTCGGAATTCCAAATTTGAAAAACACATTTCGAAGTAAAAAGGACTACATTATTAGAGGACATACCTGTGAATAAAATGATACAAGACGTGTAGTTCGGAAAGGCACGAAAAACAAAAGTGGCAATGGGATTTCGATTATGAATGTAGCTGCGACACACAGGCTATGAATCCATCCTGGGAGGTGATGTGCATACCAAGCTACTGGAGTTGGAATACACTACAAGACGTAAATGAAATAAAAACAAAAATTATCAACCATTTAACATGCCTGGGATTGATAGTGCCAATGTAATGCTTTTAAACCCCACCAAGTAGGACAGTCGCTGGTCAGTTTAACTACACCAGATGAGAACATTAGCCGAAATAGGAGCCAACGTAGCAACCACATTCCTATTTTATCACTAGCGACCATACGTGGAAGAGATATGACTGCGCCGAAACTTGATAAGAGAATTGCTACAAAGCCGGACTCCAAAAGTAAGATGTCCCTAAGATAACATGATGAAATCTTTTGAATCTTACCATTGGAACCACAAAAAAGTTTGGCCAACCTGTTAAGTAGTTATAAATGAAAAACCACGCAAACCTTTAGGGCGCTTAGATACAGCACCCAAAGGGCTAGGAAAACTGGCCCCGTCCGGAAGGCTGTGGAAAAACTCGACAGGAATGACAAGACAATGCCCACAACAGTTACAAGCTCAAGACATTTGTAAGAGTCAAGTTGCAAGAATTCAGCAAGCCGTACGACGTTTAGATTTTTAATTAAGTCTGATGCATCCTTTGGGGCTATTTTAAGTAGTCACTAAAGAATACTCTTACCACTTAATGATAGAGTTTGGATAGGTGTCACACCATTCTCACTGTATAACCCTGAAAAAAAGTTATGTTAATTGTCATACACTTGCCAGGAAGCTGAATGTATAAAGAAGCAAAAGCAAATAAGTAAATGAAGCTTAAACATAGTAGGAACCGCTCTTTCGGAATGGAGACGCCAACACGCCCCATCGTTACCACTAATGTTGAACGTACCGGGCTGTACTACAGTTCAAACGATTTTGGACGGAGTAGAGCAAGCTTTCGCCTAACGGGTTTCCGTATCTAAATGGTTCAAATGGTTCAAATGGTTGTGGACGGAATAGAAGAAGCTTTCGCTTAACAGGTTTCCGTGTCTAGTAGCAGGGGATCACCAAATCCTCCAGGCAGGAACCTAGGTATGTTAACAATAAAAGAGGAAAAGAAATTGGTAAATCATAGTGTGATGCTGTCCTTGGTCCTTAAGAATAGGTCAAGTTGCCTCTTGAAGGACTCCTGAGAAGTCGCTTGGACTAGCTCGGCCGGCAGCGAGTTCCAGCTTTTGACAACTCTTAAGGAGTAGAAGTTGTGTCTACATTCCGTCTTGCTATGTTGTGTTTCCAGTTTCTGGGTGTTACCCCTTAGGTTATTGTTCGAACTAAGCTTAAGTAGGTGTTTAAGAGGATGTCCAGAAGTGTTAAGAATACTATAAGCCATTAATAAATCACCTCTAAGACGCCTATATTCTAGTGGGTAAAGGTCTAGTGAACGGAGGCGTTCTTGGTAAGGCTTAGATTTGAGTCCTCGAACTGATTTCGTGGCTCGCCGTTGGATACGCTCCAAAGTGACCTTATCCTTTTGGAGTGAGGGGGGAGTATTATGTTTCCGTACTCTAAATGGGGACGGATGAAACTATTGAAGATTGTGTGGAAAGTTCTTCCGTCAAACTGACCAAAAATGCGCCTCAACGTTACCAGTGCAAGGTTTGCTCGGAAGGCATTTTTGTCACAGTTAGCGTAAGACTTTAAGTCATGGGGCACCAGGACTCCTAAATCTTTTTCGACTTGGGATACTACTAGAGAGGAGTTTCCTAAGTTGTAACTGTAGTTTGCGACATGTCGCAGATGGACTACTTTACACTTAGAAGTGTTTAAGGTAAGTCCGTTATCGTCTGCCCAACTATGAAGTCGAGTCAGATCCTCTTGAAGTGCCTGTATATCGTCTTGGTTGCGTATCTCTCTCCAAAGTTTCACGTCGTCGGCAAAAAGTAATAAGTCTGACGTTACCTGTTGAGGAAGATCATTTATGTAGATCAAGAAGAGAAGAGGCCCTAGTACTGAGCCCTGGGGGACCCCACTCGGACATTCCATAGCTTGAGATAAAGTGAAATTAACCCTAACCTTAAAGTGTCGATTTTTTAGGTATGAAGTAAGCCAGTCGATTAGAGGTGGTTTGATACCTAGTCGTTTGAGCTTGTTGATAAGACATAAGTGGTTAACCTTATCAAAAGCTTTTGAGAAATCTAGGTAAGTGATATCAACCTTTCCCTTGCGATCGAGGATGCTTGTCCATCTGTCCACCGCAGTCAGCAGGTTGGTTGTACAAGAGTAACCCTTCCTGAAACCATGATGTTGGGGTGAGAAGAAATTTAAGGACAGTAGATAGTCGTTTAAACCGTCGCATATCAGGGACCCATGAGTTTTGAAGGTAATGACAGAAGAGCTACCGGCCGGTAACTTGAAGGTTCATTGCGTCGACCACCTTTGAAAATTGGTGTGATGTGAGCCAACTTCCAATTTTCCGGTAGTTTGCCTCGGCTAAGCGAGTGTGAAAACATCACACTAAGCGGCGTTGCCAGGATTGAGGCTGCCTCCCTCAGTATGGCAGGATGAACCATATCCGGACCAGGAGAAGTGTCAAGTCTTAAGTGCTGCAGTTTCCGGAACACCAAGTCAGCGCTTAGGTCCACTTCAGAAAGTCCTGTGGAATTGCAGATGAAACTGTCGTCGATAAAGTGGATCACCGATACCTCCAGCCAGGAACCTAGGCATATTATAGATCAAAGAGGAAAAAGAAAAATATTGGTGAATTATAGAAAGATACTAATCTTAGTCCTTAAGAGTATGTCAAGTCTTTTTCTTAAACGACTCCTGAGAATTTGCTTGGACTAGCTCATTTGGCAGCAAATTCCAGCATCTAACAACTCTTAAGAAGTAGAAGTTGTGTCTTAAGTCCATTCTGCTTAGTTGTGTCTCCAGTTTCCGTGTAATACCGCTAAGTTTAGTGTTGGAATTGAGCCTAATTAAGTGTTTAAGGGGATGTCCAGAAGTGTTAAGGATACTGTAAGCCATAAGGTCACTTCTGAAATGCCTGTACTCTAATGGGTAAAGGTTTAGTGAATGGAGAATCTCTTCATCAGGCTTGACTTTGAGTCCTCGAACTGATTTCGTGGCTCGCTGTTGGGTACGTTTCCGAGTGTCCTTATACTTTTGGAGTGTACTGTAAATGGGGACTAATGAAACTGCTGAAGATTATGTGGAAACTTTTTCCGTCAAACAAGCTGAAATGCGCTTCAACGTTACCGTTCCAAGATTTGTTCGGAATGCATTTTTATCGCAGTTGGTGTAAGACTTGTAGTGTTAGTCATCAGGTTTAGCCCATAATATAGCTTATTCAAGTTTCCGGACATTCCATTCTATTCATTCTACTTGAGTAATATTTTGACCTTGTTAATTATTCGCTTATTAGCCTTGACTGTTTTCATATGAGTGTATGTGTGTGTACACTCCATGTCCCATGACTCATCACATGTCTGTAGTTTATTTTGTCTGCCTATAAATATTGAGTAATGCCCGGCTTGAAATGGAGTTTGCTTCCCAGCCATCTTCCCTGCTTGTCATTTTGCTTTGCTATGTTTCATTCGCTTCATGTACGAAATATATGTATTCTCAAGTAAATTCTCGTTATTCGACTTATTTAATTCCGTTATTAGATAACGCGATTTAAGTCGACGATGATATACGAGAAAAGACGATGAAAAATATCCATACAATCTAAAAATGGAGTCAAAACCATGGGCCCCTAAAGACTTCAAATCCTAGGGTACCATCAATCCTAAAGCTTTTTCAACTTGTGATACCTCTAGAGGGGAATCGCCTTAGTCGTAGCTGTAGTTTGCAACATGAACTACTTTACACTTTTAAATGTTAAAAGTCTGTTATCATCTGAAGTCTAGTCAGATACTCATGAAGTGCTAGTATATCCTCTTGGTTGCGTAACTCTCTCCAAAGTTTCACATCATCAGCAAAACGTAATAAGTCAGACGATACCTGTTAGAAAGGATCGTTTATATAAATCAAGAAAAAAAGAGATCCTAGTAGTGAGCCTTGTAGGACCACACTAGGACATTTAATGGCCAGAGAAAAATTTAAGTTAACCCTAACCTTAAAATGTCGATTTTTATGTATGAAGTGAGCCAATCAATTAAAGGTGATTTGACACCTAGTCGTTTGGGCTTATCCATAAAACACATATGGTTCACCTTATCAAAAGCTTTTGAGAAGTCAAGATAAATGACGTCAGCCTTCCTCTCGCGATCAAGGATGGTTGCTCATCTGTTAACCACAGTCAGCACGTTGGTTATACAAGAGTGACATTTTCTGGAACCGTACAGTTGGAGTGAAAAGAAATATAATTATAATAATAATAATATATTTCTGCGTGTGCAGGTGCACGCCAGTTTTACAGGCATGATCTATATATTACAACATTCGTTGGCGCACTACATGCTTCCCAACTTACTAAGTTTATAGTTGTTATAAAGTAGACTCGTAGAACGCTTTCTGTAAGCCATAACCTTGGGGAGACGCGTACGTCAGATTTGTTCCAAACGTCAGAAGTTCCGTAACTGTGCACTCAGAGCAAGATTCTGAAGAAGAAGAAAAAAGAGAAACAGAAGAGCAGCAAGGCACTTGGATATGAACGCCAAACGTTGCTTAACAGTGTATAGTAGAACAGACAGAGGTATAATAAATTAGATTATATTCACGTCATCTGTTGTTAGATTGAAATGAAGTCGAAGGCTCCATATAAGAGAATGTAGTAATAAAGAACAATGAGTTGTGGCGTTTAACAGTTTGGAGGAAGCTCACATGGAGGAAGGGAAGTCAAGGTTGGTACAAGGAAAGCGGTTTATCAGAAGGGAGTGTGTATATAGAGGGTGAGATGTTAAGAATGCTAATAACTACATCTTTTATTGTCTAATTTTTTATCTTTTTTTGTTCATCCGATGCCAGACACACAATCCTAGTTTAAAAGTCCGAGTTAGTATGTTATAGGTTGTCTTAGTAGAACAGCTAATCCAGCATAAAATTGAAAACATGAGTCTGAGTGGTGAACGTAGGAAGACAATATATATCACAGATTTATTGGCTTATTCTCAATCATAGAGAGCCTGATACATTCAAAATGTTCTGCCCCATAAACACGGGTGGATTGAAGTTATCGCCCTCACCATCGATGCTTGATGGTCAGTAACTTCACCCTCCCTCTTTTTGTGATGTTAGGCTCATTTAAGCTTATTTGAGGATATATGCCATACCTCACACAATCCTCTGTGTTCCACAACTTGTTGGAAAACACGATTTCTATAAGTACGATTTTAAAAGCTTATCAGGCTGTTACAAGTTATGGACTGTGGATAAGGCATCGATGCAGTGCTTTAATTGACTATAGTATAAAGTATAGTTTGCCAATCAGAGTATAAGCATTGAGAAGGGTATAATGTAAAATAGTTGTTTGTTAAATCAGGCGGAAAAGTATAGAAGTATATTAATTGTAGATAAGGTAACGAGTGGAGAAATAATAATAATTGTTAGTCAATATAATGTACAGAAGAGTAAAAAGCTGGTAAAGAATAAACAGGAAGAAGCTCACATGGGTAACAGGCTTCACAGATGGGCGACCACTAGCAGTTGGCAGTCGATTGTGCGGTTCGCTTGACTTTTCAGGGTGGTAGTGAGTGTCTCTTAGCAATCTAGTTTACTTGAACATTATCGATAGGTCCAGTGAGTTACCTGTCTACTTCGAGTGAAGAAATAGGGTGGAAAATGTAACTGATACAATTGCTAAGTAGGAAAAATAAGGCGAACTGAACTTGAGGTCCATTTTGATTTAGATATAGTCGTGCAGACCATCGCATACGAGGGACACCACAATTTTGAGGGTATAGAGAGAAGCACCACCGGTCAGTAGCTTGAAGGCTTGTTGTAACAACCTACTTTGAAAATTGATGTGAACTGAGCCAGCTTCCAAAATTCCGGTAATGTTCCTTGGCTTAATAAATGTGAGAACTGCAAGATAAGCTGTGTTGCTAGGATTGAAGCTGCTTCCCTGCAGCAGAACAGACCATATCTAAACCGAGAGAATTATCTCTCTTAGGTGCTGCGGAATGCTATGAGAAGAGTGAACAAAGTCATACGCAGGTCTCCTAGAAAGACAGATGCGAGAAAGTCAATGAATGACATAATTTATAACATAAACTGTAGTGTTGAATTTGAAAATACGTTAGGTTTTGAACCAGAGGGTTTTCTGTTTGCTGGTATTCCTTTGAGTGAAATGCCTAATCAATTTCAACTCGTTTCCTATAAATAGATCAGTCTCTGCCATAAGTGCCCCCCTGACTCTTGTAGTTTCCAATAGTTACCCTTCAGACAGTAAAAATGGTGTGTGGTAAGTGTATGAAGTTAGTTGTCCCGGTCAGAAGAGAAAGATTGCATACATCTGTAGTGTGGCGTCGAGTCACGATAAACTATGATCACCACTACAGAAAGATCACTTGCCAGTTATTAGGTCGGATCCCTCCGTAGGCCAAAAACCAGGAGGCCGTTGATGGTTGTAATAAGATTTATTTGTTGGCAATCTCGTGGTATTGAAATACTACCGACATCGTGCCAAAATTTACAGGTAAACTATTAAGCGTACGCGAATATGTGCAAAATCACAGTCAGCGGAAGGATATGTGTTCTTAGTGCACTTAAACGAACAGGTACAGTAAAACAATTACTGGTGCAATTGGTTATAATAATAACTGTTTCAATTATACCAATCGCATCCTTTTCATAAAAGTAAGTCTCTACACATCATGCATATGAAAATCTTTCTACAAACTATGGCGATAGCTTGTGTCGATTTTTAGGAGTGATCCAGTAATTATTCTTTAGATCACTGTCAGAAATTTAAAGACAAGAATGTTAGAAAAAGGAAGGAATTCGTTCTTAGACACAAGTTGTGTAATGTATGCCTGAAGGCAAACCACGTGGCGAAAAACTGTCGATCGCCGAGGTCGTGTGCTGTCGAAGGGTGTGGCTGGAGACACCATACCCTGTTACACGAGTTGCGTGAAGAACCAAGGAATACTAATATTGATGCACACATTAACACCCAGCTATGTACGAAGAAAAATGTTGAGCGTGTACAGAAACAGGCAGCATTCGCAATAGTGCCTGTACTGGTAAGAAATGGAGAAAAGGTAGCACAGACTTGCGCCTTAGATAGTGGGTCGGATACCTCTCTTATTACAGAAGATCTAGCTAAAAGGTTGAATTTAGAAGGAGAGCCTAAGACGATTTCGTTGAAAACGTCGGATAACCATTTCACAATTCAGTGTAAAGATGTTCAACTAGAGGTTTCCTCCTTAGACTCGTCTTCGTCATTTAGAATCCCAAACGTATGGACAGTCGAGAGATTACTTATGTTGAGCAGGACGGTACCAACGACGTTTCAAATGAAATCCTAGACGCATTTAAAAGACATAAGTTTTCCTAGAGTAGAGGATGAGAATGTCGAACTGTTGATCGGGTGCAACGCACCGAGTGTACACGAAATGAAAGAGGTAAGAACTGGAAAGCCGAATGAACCATTCGCCGTGAAGACTCTGTTAGGTTGGACGCTGTTCGGTTCCTATGGGGAACCCTGTAAAAGCGATCATGTACTCAATCACCTCTCGGCTAAAGAGGAATTAGAGGGTAAGTTTGAACAATTGTATTCAACTGAATTCAAAGACCTACTTAGTCGTACTTCATCGGTGTCTGTGGAAGATCGTATAGCATTATCAGAATCTGCATATGGTGTCGCGGAGTATACTCGTTCCGAAGATGTCTCTCGTCAAGCTTATTGTTCGTTTTTATTAACTAAGTATAAGGTTGTTAAGCCAAAAACTGAAGCATCATCTGCTAATAAATCCAAATCAACTCTAAGAAAGCTTAAGGAAAAGAAGGACATCAAACTGAAAGTGAAGACTACGAAAAAGCCGAAGACCATTGTAACGAAGAAGCCAGTAACTAAGACCCTGAAGAAGCAGGTAGCACATATTCGCCGTGGTGTCGAGGACGGTGTTGAGAAAGGCGCCCTTGTACGAGTTGTGAACAAGAGTAAGGGTGTATCTGGTAGTTCTATAGGATCCAATGCTATTCTTGGACAGATCATGTGTAGTTGGAATCAGAATAAGACAGAGAAGGGTTGTGAATGGCGCTTTAAACTTCCGAGGTCTAGTCAACGAGACGGTGTATGGGGACGCATCATAAAGTCGATAAGAAGAATTCTGGGATCACTATTGTTTCAGAAGGTATTGATGGATGAGTCTTCGAGAAACTTAGTGTTATTAAACAATGTTGGCTCACTGAGAAGTCTATGGTCCAAAGCTATTGTCGAACAAGTAAGCTATGGTTCTCACGAACAAGTTCGTACGGCAAAATTGAGAACCGCAAACGAAGAAACTGTTCGGGACATACGACGCTTATGTCTACTAGAAGGAGCCGGCTGTCTGACGGCGACGACGACCTTGGACAACGGACGTGGTGCGCGTTTCGGGGGGAGTGTAAAATGTGATTGATAGACGAACCCACCAATAATAAGGGAAACGCCCACCACCACATCAACTCCTTTTGACCTTGTACGACTGTATCTCTTCATTAACCAATCACAGTTTAATGTTCATTGTAAAACAACATTGGCTTGTTGACTCATTTTTCCTATTCTCTGGCCACTGTTCGGTATGTTATTTGTCTCTGTTTTTCCCTGTATTAATAGACCGTACTGTTTGTTTGTACACTAACGATGTAAATTTATGTTTTAGAAAAAGATAAAGTTTATATAGCCAAATAACTTACTTGTTCTGACTGTGGCTAAATCAAGACTCTGTACTCGACAGTCTAGAGACTAGCTTAGAGTTGAATCTGTAGGAAATTGCTTTCTACATATGTGGAGAACCACTACAACCATCATATAAAGTACAGGTATTTAAGAACAACTGTCTACACAAGGCACTCGATATCTGTTGACCGGATATCATCAACAACAACAAACAATGGCAGAGAACAAACGAATTTCTAGCTGACGATGAAATTAGGAAGTGACGTTGGAAGTGGATAGAACATACATTACAGAAATCACCAGCCTGCATCACAAGGCAAGCGCTAACTTGGATAGCTGAAGAGAAACGTAAAAGAGGAAAGCTGTAGAACACAATACGTCGGAAATTGGAAGCAGACATGAAAAGGATGAGTAACAACTTGAAAGAACTGGCAAGGATTGTTTAGGATAGAGTTGGATGGAGAATGCTGGTGAGTGGCCTGTACTTATGACTAAGCATATATCCTAACAGACCATAAGATCTAATTACACTGATAATTCCCTGTGCATAGAACGTCATATCTAGTCCTTTTATCACATTTTTTATATCTGGAACGTTCGTTATAAATTTCAGGAGACATAATTTAATATTTCTACCAAAGTACCTATTTTAATATACAACATTGAATAGATACCCTCTTGTTGATTTCCGTGAATGAGACATCAGACAATTCCGATTATTTCAGTGTATTATTGTACTATCGCTAATATTTTGTGTAATTTCTCATTTTAACGACTACAACACTAGATATTTCACCATATGACTGTTCAACAGTTATCTAGGACTGATGAGTTTGATGTAAACTAGTAAACATTTGTAAATGTTCACTTCGGCAGTCTTAACTGCTACCGCTTATTAGTAAACAGAAGTTTCCAATATGTTTTTTTGCTTATTTATACAACTGAGAAAACGAAAAGCAATCAACAATGCAGTATAAGTAAAATAGAAACGGTAATCGCAAAATCACTTAAAAAAGATGTATTTTTATCGTTTCATATATTGTTAACTAGATAATTCAGTTCAGCGATATTACTTCAGAAACCAGAAAGAGAGTTATTGACTATCCCACAAATATTATTTTTGTTCACGAGGATTTAACCTCTTCTGCGACATCAGCAATTCCTATTCGCCGTTGACCAACATCAAATACTGTATAAACTTTTCTTAAAAATACATCCCCAAATATCCATAACGGGCCACTTGGGAAGTCAGTACCAATGAAGCAAGTCCTGCAAATTCGTGAACCGTTTGAAACTTTCTAGTAATAATAAGATATAACAATGGAATACTGTTATTTTTACTCAAAACCTTTATATGGATTGATTTTTATGATTGATTTTATAGTACTTTCTATTTACCAGTTATGTAGTCCACATCAGACAGTTAACTAGCTTGAAACATTTACCATTTATAAATACTTTTTGATCAATTTTTTAAAGTTTCATTGCTACTGAAGTGTTAGCTAATCAACTGAAAATTGTTTTAGACTTCTGTAAAGTAAACACCTCAACTCATGTGACGTAAGCCACAAATATTTTGATGAATATCATGCACTCTTTGTATTTGTTAAGTTTATATTTATTATTTATTAATGAATTAATATCTGGTGATTGAATGATTCCATTTCAAATTGAGTTTTCACTCAGAGGATCTTTTAAATTAGAAAAACTTCAAAGACAAGCGACTAAGTGAGTATCGTTTATCTAAAAAGTATAGTTCTCGCAAACCAAAAACAGAAAAAAAGCTTGATGAAGCTTCCCAACGAATCACTATTGGTATGCTCTGTTACACAATGCACAGATGAACTACAAGAGTAAGAAATTTTCGATTGCTTACACGGACAGATGGCAACACGTATGAAGTTGTAGGTTCGTGATGTTCGACTTATCTGTGTAAATAGAGTTTATCGCAATGAACTTTCTCAACTTAAGACCTGTATTTGTGAACGGAATAGGACCTGGAAGATTTACAGAAAACATACATATAAAGAGGCATAACTTTCAACCATTAGTAAATATTAAGTTCATCCATATGATTTTAGATATAAAAATGTCAAATAACTTAGTGAGCAACGTATGATGTAAAGCATAGACAGGAGTAATTTTTTATAAATTATGTCAATATAAATATTGAAATGGATAAACGCACTTGGAGGTCGAAGAGATTACAATTTTATTAATAGAGATGATTCAAAGAATCAAGAAAACTTGTATAATCTAGTGGTAACTTTTCTGACTACAGTTGTTGGCAGCTTGGATCAGGATCTCTAGTTGAGTATCGGTTTCATTAAGGTTTGCAGAGATCATTAAACAGTGGGGGCCAACCAATATAAATTGGAAATCCATCACATTTTTACGAATAACTACAGTGTTTAGTAATTATGTCTTACTTAGCTTAGTAGTTATAGTGATAAGTTATTAAATAAAGGTCGTTGACTTCTATTTCGGAGGTTGCGGTACCCGACCGTTGTTGCTATCTTGACGTGGTGGTCGGGCTTGCCTATTGTAATGAAGCAACCGAGCTATACTGGCTGGAACAACCGTTCCTCAAGGTCCTACCATGTCAGACAAGTCGGTTGAAGAGCGGTAAGACTAAAAGCAACAAACCCAAGGTCCGAAGGCGAAGTCGTACTGCTGACTGTACAGAGGTGTGACAGCAGTAAGGTGTTTCCTTCAGACAACCAGCATGACAGCGATGCTGCCTTCCCACATGGAGGGGTGGGGTTAGAAACGGTCGACCCTAAAAACACACATTTCGTCTTATCCCACTGATATCTATCTCCAGCGCTAAGGTCTCAACAAGTACGGAGCTAACGCAAAAATTGCCCATATAAAGGTCGTGTGTGACCGACCTCAAGCAGTTGTCCCTTTGGCACTGCGGTCAAGCTCCCAGGTCACAAGACCACCTCTAATCCGATTTCCCTTTCAGACACCTCCAGGACAACCCTTCCACGGTGTGAGCAACCGGGAAGCGATAACCGCCCTCATACCTCTAACAGCGCTCAAGACCACTGTATTCATAATCAACCTCCGTCTTCACTTTTTATTACTCCTCTACATCGACTTTCAACTCTAAACTTCCTTTTTCGGCTTTCTCTTCAAATATCACCATAGCCAACGATTCTAGTGCTCAAAACACTGTCCCAGGTCTACTGAAACCTCGCTCCAAACTACACATTAGAGCCTTCAACGTACGAACCCTATGTCAAATCGGTCAGCAGGCTTCCTTGGCTAAAACCCTAGAGTCTCTTTCCATTGATGTATGCTGTGTCTCCGAAACACACATACAGGATTCCAGTGTGGTCATTCACTTGACCTCACCTCGGCAAAACGGAGAGCCAACGAGATACACCCTCCGTGTATCTGGTGACCCGATGGCCAGTTCTCGTGGACTGGCAGGTGTAGGCATAGCACTAAGTATGAGGGCGGAACAAGCACTGCTAGAGTGGATCCCCGTCAACAGTCGTCTATGTGCTGTTCGGCTAAACGGCTCCGTAAGAACTCGGGAGGATAGGGACACACGTCGTTGTCTTTTCGTCGTTTCTGCCTACGTTCCCACCGAATGCAGCTCAGATGAAGTGAAAGATAAATTTTACAGAAAGCTATCTGAACTTCTTCAGAAAGCTAGACGTTCAGACATAGTACTCGTAGAGGGTGACTTTAATGCTCAGTTAGGTAGTTTAAACCAAACAGAAAGGCATTTAGGTGGATATTTTAGCATTCCGGCACAACGAACAGATAATGGTGATCGTCTGCTGCAACTGTGCTCAGACAATCGTTTATTTTTAGCAAACACAACTTTTAAGCATAAGGAGAGACATCGTCTAACATAGCGACCACCTACACCAAACCAACTATGGACTCAAATAGACTGTATTACCATCAGTCATCGTTGGAGAGGGTCGGTAGAAGATTGTCGCTCATTCTGGAGTACCTGCTTGGACTCCGACCACACCCTAATACGGGCACTCATCTGCTTGCGCCTCACTGCACGCAAACAACCTCAGTAAAAAGACCCATTAGAACTGAGTTGAGTAACGAGAAAACCAAAATAGGTTCCAAGAACAACTGAGGTCAAAATTAGGTAGTTCTGAAGACGAGGCTGACCCAGATGTTGCTTGGAAAGACATACAAACAGCTGTGGAAACAGCAGTGACATCTATCAGTGATTTAAACCACAGGGTTACAAAGAATCAATGGATTTCCTCAAAGTCTATTGCACTGGTGGATTCTCGCAAACTCATCCAATCAGGCTCTGAACACGATGAAAAGCGACAACAAATCAGATCTAGGTTAAGAAAAAGTCTAAGGAACGACCGTGAGCAGTGGTGGGCAGCGAAAGCAAAAGAGATGGAAAAGGCGGCGGCTATAGGGAACACAAGACAGCTCTACAGGCTAATAAAAGAAACCGGAATTAATAAGTCAAGTGTAAGTCAGACTATTTCGGAAAAAGACGACACCCTCATCTGCTCTCAGTCCAGACGTTTAGAGCGATAGGCGGAACATTTCAGAGAACAGTTCAACTGGCCTTCAGCTACTCTACAACTACCCTCCATTCCCAGACAGTGTGAATAGAACATTGAAGTAGGTCCCCCAACTCTTGCTGAAGTTCAAAGGGCTATAGGTAATCTGGAGTGATGAAGGGCAGCTGGTCCGGATGGATTGGCTCCAGAGGTCTTTAAGGATGGTGGTCCAGTTTCAGCGATCAGGTTGACTAATATTTTAGCTAAGATCTGGGAGTCAGACGCTATCCCATCTGACTGGTCACAATCCCTGGTTGCCCCAATATATAAGAAGGGGTCAAAATCATTCTGTGACAACCACAGAGGGATTAGTTTAACTAATAAATATCTAAAATACTAGCTTCGATAATTATCAGACGCCTAACTAAGACTCGTGAACTGCAAACACGAGAGACTCAAGCTGGCTTCAGACCTGGTCGTGGCTGCATCGACCACATATTCACCATTCGTCAGGTTCTAGAACACAGGCATACCTATCGGCGTCCGACGATGGTGGTATTTCTCGACTTAAAAGCAGCATTTGACTCGGTAGACCGCGAGACTCTGTGGCAGTGTCTGTCATTGAAAGGCGTACCTCAGAAGTACATAAACCTTGTGAAGGCTCTTTACTCGAACACTACTAGTCGAGTCAGGGCTTATGGCGAACTGTCATCTACTTTTGCAACCTCAAGTGGTTTCCGTCAAGGCTGTCCACTTTCTCCATTTTTGTTTAGCTTCATGATAGACCTATTGGTGGAAATAACATTCTTGTCTACTGAATTCTCGGGTATTGATCTCCTTCCAGGAGGTCTACTTATCGACTTGGAATGGGGATGGTTGGAAGAAAGTTAGGGGCGACCAAACCAAAACGTGGCATCAGTGCTTGAAGTCACTAACTTATAGTCTGAGCCATGCTGGTAGATGCAGACTACTTGGTTGGGATCCGCGTGACTGTCGTAACCAATTTTTGGAGACTCTTGGTGACATGGCTCAGAATCGATCACAATGGCGTAGGTGTATGCACTATCTGTCTTCCCTTAAACTATAAGATTAAAATCGCTTCATATCTTTCTTTCTATGAACTAAATCTTTCTTCCTATACTATATCCTTATTGCAATCTTTCTTTTATATATTACCACCTCTGAAGTAACTACTTTTATGAATCCGGTGTCCATCTCGTTGTGTTATTGAGGTATGGCAACTTGGACCGATGCATATATGTGCCTGGTTCTACGTTGTAGCTGACTGACTGAGAGAGAATTGCTCAACATAGTGTTGAATGTTGTTCAGTGATTGGTGACCATACAGTAAAATTTATCCTGACTCAAAAGCTTCAATGAGCCTATAGAATAAGGATTTCTAACTCAGTAAGATAGTTTTGATGTTATTTTTCTTAAGCTAGGTTACTTGTTAACCATAAGCGATTACAGGAACCAAACTTATTAAAGTCGTATCATGATCTATAAATCAACTTAATGAATAAAATAGCTTCACACTAGAACTTTGGCATTAGTGGTCTCAAGTCATTTTTATTGAGTGTTTTGCCAACTTAACATCTAATCACATGGCTATATAGTCTGTTCTCTAATGACATATATTTAAGCCTAAGAAAAATCTACCGAGTACTCGAAAATTAAGATCAATACTTTGTCAGACAAATGGAAAACCCAAAACATCAATACAATACAAGAGATTGGATGATGTTAATGTGATTATTATGGAACACATGCCCTAACGTAAATATACTACCATTTAGAAGTAGTAGAATACAGAACTAATTGTTTGATTATTTAAATTATTCACAGTAAAATTCAAAATATTTTTTTCAGTGTACCTGTAATTAACTTTCTTCTCGTCAAAATGGGATTGTTTAAATGTATGTCCATGTTGAATAAAGTCAAGGTCGTATGCACCACGTCCCACAAATGAGATTACTGACAAAAAGTTAGGATTGCTGTTCAATCTTGTGTTCTACTACTAGTTTTCCAAGTGAAAAAAAACTACCTTACATGTTATAAATGCAATACCCTACTTAATTACCTGATCAGCTATAAAACCTGATTAATAAGTAAAGTAACTACTACATATTGAAACAATTAATAAACAATTTGTGATTATTATTGTAAACAATAGACTGAATATTTTGATAATCCATGCAAGACTTGGGTTGTTATTAGATTGAACTGGTCTTTAAGAGTTACATCTGAAATGTCTGTTATATGAATTACAATTGTTAACCAACTTTAAAACAATTACATACAATTATTACAAGTAATGTTTTCTCACCTCAACAATGTAGTCATCTGCTTTCAATTGAATAGGTTTGCCATTAATCTTTATTTCGATTATTGGTAACTTGTGAATTTTATTACAATCCACAATGTATTCATTATTAGATACTTGTATACTTCCAAGATATTTATTTATATTATTAATTTTTTCAGTTGGACCTGATATTAAAGCTGTACCCGTATCAATTAGTGCGGTACTTCCACTTGGACAAAATATTTTATCGTTGATTGATATACTTTCAACATTTTCAAGATGAAGTGAAAAAAATCTTAGCATTTGATAAAAGATTTCCATGATTAATAGATTTAAATATGTGTAAAAGATGCTTTTTTAAGTTTCAATCACTGTTTTTTGCATAATGAATTACTCATAAGAAATGTGATTAACCAAAAATGTTTTCCCTTTTTGACTCTTTGCTCCTTTAAAGTTCTAATTTATGATCTATTTTCCAGTACATTACTAAAATAAAAGCGGTGAGACTATAGTTTGTGGACAACTTTTGAGTGACACCAGAGTGACCTCTCGAACATTCAGCAACCTAGTCGAGTCTAAAAACGGTTAAAATTAAAGTTAGGGTTTTCACCACAAACTGACATCAGCTATAATTCCAAAATACTATTTAGCCATATGGATGAATGAATTTCGCGCCAAAACCCAAGACTCACTATCGTAAATCTGATTGGTTCGTACATAAATTATAGTCACCCAAGAAAAATATTTTCGCTGTTTCAATTTTCACTGATCTATCCAGTCAATCTTTTGAGCAAAAATGTTCTTTGGGACTGACTAGGTCTTATTGTCAAGAGCATAATATAGGGACGAGCTTAAAATAACTGTCACAAATTATCAGTCATTTCTTAACCAAACAGAAAACAGTCTTTGTAAATGAATAGTTTTTCGTACTGAAAATGATCATATTACAAACTACATAAATTTTACATATTTATAAATTTAAAAAAACATAAATTCGTTCTTATGAACATAGATTATCGGTTTTCTCAAATAATTACCAAGACCCAAATAGATTTTTATGAGTCCCAATATTGTCCTTGATTAGGGTTAAGGATTTAAGGTAAAGATTAGGGGTATAGGGTCAGTGTTTTTATCACAAATTGACATCAGTCATAAGTCCTCTGTCACCTTATGTGTGGATGAATTTCGCTCAAGAACAAAAGAGGTACTGTCTAATCCGTTCGTTCATAAACTTTAGTGCCATCAAGTTAGGATTTGCTTCAGGAATAGGGATTTAGGGTTAGGATTTAGGAAAAGTGGTGATTCTCCTGTCATATGTAATCTAATCCGAAATTAACATTGTAAATTCGTATTAAAATATACTAAAATGGATTATATATATGGTTATTTACTTTTCAGTAGCAGTCATAAAACACAGCACTCCGGTAGCCACACCTTAGACTTTATTGTATTCAGTAGAAAGGGTACTTGGGGTGATGCTTGATGAAATCACTGGGATTTTTTTAATCTTAGATTCGGAATTTCTCCGAATGAGCTTGCTTATTTGAAAAGACATATTCATAAGGTAGAATTATTTTTTAAAGAAATCACTTACCCATCTATTTTAATCATCCAATATTCTTCACTTACAACGTCTGAATAAGTTAAATCACCAGTATAATATCTATCATCAATCCCACCAAACATTATTTCTCCACTAGTTGTCTTATCTTCATTACTGATTGGTGAAATTAAAATCAACAAGCACAAAATCAATCATTCAAAGTACATCGAAAAATAAATTCTTTGAAGAAAAATTGAAGTATACCCATAATCAATCTGTACATATTAGTGCATTCATATATGAGCCCCCAAATGCCCTGGTATGGCTGAGAGTGGGATGGGTCCCCCTCCCTCTAGAAATGCTCTCACACGGTCACGCGTATACAGCCTCTGCCACGGAAGTTCTACTCACTGTCTCCTCGTGGCGGGGGTGTTGTTTACGAAAATGAGAGGGCGAAAAGCGAATGTCCGGCGCTTTTACCGGATCCAAACCAATGGTGCACATGGGCTCCAGTATCCTGAAGGAACAAATGGCGTATGAACCAATCGTTGGTCACCGGCTTCCATGGGACTGCATCTCCTTACGATGCTCCACTGCCTTGTGGGCTAGACCTTTAGGTCAAAGGCTCGGGATGTGGCTCCCTAAGAAAACCACCTGCTTCGTTTTGGGCACCCGGGCAGTATCACAGCCCACACACACAGATATGGTATGACGCATATATACTTGGTGCCCTCTTGTACCAATATTTATGTGTTCAAATAAATAAATAAATTCATATATGAAGTATACCGTTTGATTAAATGGAACATATACAAATTTGAAACACATTATTAAAGAAAATTGGTTATTTATTACGAAAAATTAGTATATATACAAATAAGTCCTCTCTATTATTTAGTTGAATAAAAATGTGTATTCTAAATTTTACTTCAGGATGCTAACTGAACTAATATTAAAACAAATAATCACTCAAAATTTCAAACCAAATAAACAATTCTTTTGGATTATCATTAACTTACAGATTTAAATAAACTGCAAATACAGGTTTATCTACTAATCGCTGTTCAATCAGATTCAAAAATATAGGTTTTGGATTAGAATTTTGTGATCTTTGTTGAAATCCCATACCCATAATTCCATCAAAATGAAAATTTATAAATACTTGACCAGGTTGATGAGTTACTTCGCCAAATGTTTGATCGACAATATTCAATGAACCGATCTAAATGATTATTATTTTTTAAAATAAAATAAATAATATATACATACTTACATGAACACAATCTGAACTTAAAAATCCTGATGCTATTCCAGTGCCGTATTGGACATAAAATAATTCACCATTCGGTTTATAAGTTGAAGATTTCGAACTATCATACTTATGATGTACTTGACATGCTAAATCACTGGAATCACACATTTTAGATGGTATCCATAAATATGGTGATCCTGTGTCGAATATCACATAAAATGTTTGAGGTGGAGTCCCGATAGAAATTTCTCCATAATATTCAATCTAAAAATTTGATTGTAAGAAATCGTATATCAGAAAGATAAAAGCCAAAAAAAACAGAGATCCGAAAGAAAGTTATTCTAAGTCGAATGTTAATTATGAACTTACATTTTGGTAATTTTCTAAATATTCAGTATATATTCCATCCTTTGATGATGTCAGTCTTTGGAACCATTTATTTTTGAATTGTTTAATTGATAAATTCCATTGATGATTCAATACAGGATAAGATAAGTTTAAATGAAGAGATGAATGTAATTGAATCCTGTACAATACAATAGAAAAACTTCATATATAAATTATGATAGCACTAACCTTGTAATCGATTCACTGTAAACAACGAAAGGTAGCAATAAAATGAAAACTTTAAACAAAATCATTCGTTACTTATTTAATGATTGTTGGAGTTCTTTACTTTTATTTTCGTTCGTTCGTTCGTTAATAAATACCCTATGAAGTTACAACAAAATAAATTCATAGGTTATTCGTATGATGTAATTTATCAGCAGAATAAAAAACTCATAGAGCAATGCAACATTGGAATTAATGATATAGTTTAGTATTTATAAATCATTTCGATCTTTGGCCCCTGTTTTGTTTTTTTTTCTTTTTAGTTCATTTCTTAATTATTGCCTTTTATGTACTTTTATTAAACATGAAGATTTTAATTAATCTACAAATTATGGATTTTCTACTGTAAATAAATTAGTGATATAAAGCTTAGTTGGACAATTACATAATAATATTTTATTAAAAAGTTGTAGCACTTAGGGTTAGTTACGTATATAATGATCAGTAAGTAAGTAAGCTAAATTATTTACTATATATATATATATATATATATATATATATATATATATATATATATATATATATATATATATATATATATATATATATATTGATTTGTTTGGCTTTAAACCAGATTTATGTTATTCATAAGATTTGGTGATACTCTTTGTTCACTCAAATCGAAATATGTAGAGTAAGGTTCGAACCCATCACTTAGTGGTTGCAATTATTGATGACACTTAATTACTTACTTACTTACGCCTGTTACTCCTCGCGAAGGAGCATAGGCCACTCACCAGCATTCTCCATCCAACTCTGGCCTGGGCAATCCTTTCCAGCTCCTTCCAATTCCTATTCATCCTTTTCATATCTGCTTCTATATCTCAACGTAATGTGTTTTTTGGCCTTCCTCTTTTCCGCTTCCCTTCAGGATTCCAAGTTAGGGCTTGCATTGTGATGTGGTTTGATGATTTGCGTATTGTATGTCCTATCTATTTCCATCGTCTTTCCTTAATTTCTTCTTCAGTTGTAAGCTGGTTTGTTCTCTGCCATAGTAGGCTGTTGCTGATAATATACGTCCAATGGATGTTGAGTATTTTGTGTAGACAACTATTTATAAATACTTGTACCTTATTGATGGTTGTTGTTGTAGTTCTCCAGGTTTCAGCTCCATACAGTAGAACTGCCTTGACGTTCATATTGAAGACTCTGAATTTGATGTTGGTTGAAAGTTGTTGAGTTCCATATGTTCTTCAATTTTAAGAATGCGGCACTTGCTTTGCAATATTGATGACACAGCATTACAAAATGAATAAAATATATTTACAAACTGACGAATATTACAAACAAAAATGGGTAGTGGCTAGCAGTGGAATAAAGGGCGCACGTTTCGTCCCGTTTAGGACTCGTCAGCTAGATGTACCTGGGTCTCGGAGTGAATATCAACCCTGGGATGTAGGCACATCCAGCTGGCGAGTCCCAAAATAAGACGAAACGGATGTTCTGGATTCCACTGTTAGCCACTATCCGTCTTTGTTTATAAAGTTTGTGACTTAAGGCAATATCGAGGCAATCCCTACAGGATGCACATATGCCAACAAGAGACTGATCAACCGAAGTCCTAAACAACAATGGGAAGATACAAGCAAACAATACCAAGTGAATTGACGAATATTATATTGAAAACCTGGAAGCACTGGACGGCCGTTTCGTCCTAGTATCGGACTCCTCAGCAGTACGCATCCACGATCCCGCACCACGCGGGGCTCGAACCCAGGACCTACTGGCTTCGCGCGCGAGCACTTAACCATTAGACCACTGAGCCGGCATCCAACATTTAGAAGGCTCTTGAACGCATGAAAGTGGTTGCAAAATGTAAACATTCAGAAAATTTATTCATAAGTGATTTGATTGATATTGGATCTAATCTCCCTTTTAAACGTGCATATCATCAATAGATGGTTGCACTTCATTGATTAACACTTAACAAACCCCAAATATCTCTTCATTACAAATGATAGGCTATTTCAGAACAGTAGAAAAAAAAGAAAATCGGTTGGTAAAATGTTAGTTACACCGGATGAATGAAAATCATTATGCAATTAGTTAGTCCACCGACACTTCAAAATAAACCTAAATATGAAAATCGATCACAACAAAATTTATTTGGAGGGGAGAAAATATAAATTATCCCTTACTGACTGTGTAACAGTCCGTTAGCTCCTAATAGTTCTCTTCTGTTGACTGTACATCCAACTCGAAAATTTACTGTCATGATAGATCTCGATGTCTCACAGTTGTATTTTTCACTGATTAACCACTGAATTCGATTTATCAAGATTCAGTGTGGCTACTAATCCGAGTGAATCAAGATTGCTTACACTATTTTGCGACGTTCGGTGTTTGCAGGTGGTCAGCAGGAAACCACAAAGGTTTTATGCTTTTTGGCACCCAGTGGAAAGGAGTATTTCCACTTTAGAGAGAACTGATACGAACTGGTGGATTAAAGACAGATTCACCCAGTTTACATCATGAGGCGTTAATACTGAGTCATTCGGGGAGAGGGAAATGATATTCTGTAAGATGGGAAAATTCCAAACAGCACGAAACCCGAATACATGGTTTACTCTCACCTAACGACTTGGACTTTATTTCCATTTCTCTTGCCTAGAATAATTTCAGACTTATCTGCACATGATGACCTATCCACTTTATTTCTTAAAGTTATTAATACTACATGAAGATACACTGATTGGCGACAGTGATTTCAAAACCGTTATTAAAAATAATAAAATATACTTTTACTAATTAGTTGATCAAACCTAGAAAATAGATTCGGATTGATTTGTTTTACAAGATTCCTTTCTACAAATTTTCCCCCTTAACCTACTAATTCGAAACCATTCACTTTATTCATAAACGATAGCTAATATAGCTCGCCTAATAATAAACGGGTTTAGGCACTCGTCTTTGAGACCCATTATTTATGTAAGGGTTAATATATTGCTCAAATGACTAAAGTGAAATGGGAGGAGTTCAATTAGAATATGAAAATTACCAGTTCATTCCTGAGTACCTTAAATGCTGAGTCTATCAAGGAAAACCTGATTAATTTATTTATTTCGTTAAGAAACCGGCTTTCAGAAGTGATGGAAATCCGTAGGTCAAATGTTTATGAAATACACTGTTAAACATCTGACCACTTAAAAACATTCACGTGATTTTATCGTAGTTAAACAGATAGTTGCTTATCCAGTTTCTTCTAAGCCTCAGTTTATGCCATTTCATAAACCCATTATTTAAAGCAATTAGTCCCTTTTATAAGTTTCGATAGATTATTTATTTATTTGAACACATAAATATTGGTACAAGAGAGCGCCAATATATATGCGCCACACAAAACAATGGGAATTCGAAGAGAAGTAGAAAGAAAAAAAGAAAAAAGAAAACTAAGGAACGCAAAAGAAAAAGAGAGTAATGACGAAGAGGTACAATCAGAAGAAATCTTTCAGGTAAAGGAGACACAACCACTTTTTATGAAGAAAGTAAAAGAAGGTTACAGCAGGATCGCACCTGGCTTCTATTCTGAGCCATATCTGATAACGTCTCTAGCCACTGTGTAGCACCATCTCTCAGGCCCCAACCAGGGAGTCGTGAAGGACCAACACAAGCCAGTCCTTTGCAGCTTTCTTTCATGCCACGACACCATGTCATGCACTGACCACCTCTCCGCTTCTTCCAACCAGTCCCAGAGTCGGCAAATAATGCACGACGTGGAATTCTCTGGGACGACATTCGTAGAACATGTCCAAGCCACCGAAGTCGGTGTTTCAAGATGGTGACACCAATCGCATTATCATCTCTGTGCCCGAACACACGATGCCGAACTTCCGCATTACTGACATGGTGTTGCCACTGAATGTCAGCAATCCTTCGGAGACAGCGATGATCGAACACAGAGAGTCGTCTAACGTCCTCAACTCGGAGAGGCCAGGTTTCACAAGCATAGAGCAAAACTGCTCTCACCGACGCGTTGTAGATCCGGCCTTTTACAGCCAGACTAACATCACGAAGGCGCCAAAGGTGGCCCAGATTGGCATAAGCCGCTCTGGCTTTCACTATTCGTGCATTGATCTCATCACTCACACCCCCACCAGCACTTATGCAGCTACCCAGATACACGAACTTCTCGACTACGTCTATCTGCTCACCGTCCAGGGTGAGTACAGGATTAGAATCCTGCCAGTCTTGTAGAAGTACTTTGCACTTCGAAGGTGCGAAGCACATACCATACCTACGGACACTGATTGCCAACTGATTAAGTGCGGATTGCATGCCTTGGGCATTATCGCACAGTAAGACAATATCGTCCGCATACTCAAGGTCGAGAAGTCTTTCTCCAGGCAACAGATCCACACCACCATTACTTACATTCATCAGAGATGTTTCCAGAATGTCGTCGATGGCAAAGTTGAAGAGGAATGGTGATATTGGGCAACCCTGCCTAACCCCACAGCTCGAATGGAACAATGGAGAGAGGTGGTTGTATGCCCTCACTCTGCCTGAGGTGTTTTTATACAGGGCTTTTAGGATGTTAATAAACTTCTCAGGCACACCCTTCTTCAATAGACAATCCCAGAAAACAGTCCTATCCAACGAATCGAAGGCAGCCCTGATGTCAAGAAACACTACGATTGTTGGCCTTTGAAAAGTATGGCGGTGTTCTAACATTTGGCGGAGGGTGAAGATATGATCAATACATCCTCGACCAGAACGAAACCCAGCCTGCTCCTCGCGAGTCAATCTTTCTCGGGTTTTGAACAACCTACGAAGAATGACGGAAGCCAATAGCTTGGACGCAATCGGAAGTAAACTTATCCCCCGATAGTTGTTACAAGAACGACGTGAACCCTTTTTAAAGATAGGGACAACTATCGACTCATTCCATGACGTTGGTACACTCTCTAGATCCCAAACCTTTGTAAACAACGTCGTCAATTCCTTAGTCAAAAAGTCACCACCATCTTTAAAAAGAGCAGGAGGTAAGTCATCTGGGCCAGGTGATTTGTAACGCTTCAAGAGTTGGAGT